AACAGGAAAGCTTTTGCCTTTGATTTCTTTGTGTTCTTTTCCTTCTGTACTTTGATTTGTGCTACAGTGGGATTTGCTGGAAGTAGAGGGACCTCGTAATCCTCTTCTATTGCTTTCCAAAGATCAAAAGCCTCCAAATAAGTCTCCATACGAACTTCCCACATTTGATAATTGTCTCCATCGAGGACTGGTGGTGCAACAACTGAAAAATTGGATTCTCCTCCCATCTTGATCTCACAGATCCCTTAAGAGGATAGGTCTGATACCAATTGTTAGTGAAAAGGGTGAGTGAGTGAATAGTTGATAAAAGATTATATTAGGAAGAACAGAATGCTCTCTCTCTCAGAATACAAAAACATATTTAGAAAATCTAACTAAAAATTTACCTAACCGAGTAAATAAATCAAAAACTAAATCAAATCAAAATTAAATCAAATCAAAACTAAATATCAAAAACTAAATCAAATCAAATCAAAACTAAATCTAACTCCTAACTCTAAATAGATTTAATCAAATACATCAATCTAAACAAATACTAATGTTTAACAAATTCTATTATTTTTTTCCCTTTTCCTCCCTCTTTGATTCTTTTCGGGCCTCCATGTTTAATTCTTTTCTTCTTTGTTTAATTATATTAGCAGTTTAGAGAATGAAGAGGAGTTCTCATTCTAAATAATTGTATAAAGGAAAAGATCTATGATTTTATGTAAAGATCTGACATTATTTCCAACTGCTAACTAAAATCTAAATAATTAGGTAATGGAAGAGGAGATGGATTCTAATTAATTGGATGAAAGATTTTGATTTTCCTTTTTCTTTCCTAAAAATATGGGAAGAATTTTCTTTTTAATTATCTACTTTTGGTCATTTTCGTTGATCTTATGTAATATATCTAAAATTTAAATAATTGAAAAGAGATTTAAGATAACTTTTGTATCTCTTGCAAAAAAAAAAAAAATAATAATAATAATAATAATAATAATAATAAATAAAAGAAAAAGATGTCTAACTTACTAATAACTTTTCTTTCCTTTCCCGGTTAAATTTGAACTTTTCTATCTCTTTCCCTCCTAAAATTTGCTATCTTTCCTTTTCTCCTATTTTTCTCTTCCCAAAATCTATAATTTTTTTTCTTTTTTTTTTTTGTTTCCTTTTTTTTTCCTGATCATTTTGGAGTTGTAGGAGGTGTTGGGGGAGGGTTGTTTGGAGAAGGTGGAGAGAGAGTCCATCTTCTACTTTTTTAAAAAATTATTATTTACTTATTATTATGTTTATTATTTATTTATTTAAAATGTTTGGATCTTCACACACCATCATACAACACATAATAAGCTAACTCCAACTGTAAGATCAGTTGCCTCGATAGTGTTGGTCGAAGTCACTCACAACGAGTTAATTCCAACAGTTAATTATGTCCTATAAGAACCACATAACATATTTAAGAACCTTTCATAACTTATTCTAGCTAAACCTCATGTTAGTTACCAAAGGAAAATCCGATCTATTTTGAATATTAAGGACCATACTGACCTCAGATTGCAAAACTAAGAGCAAAAATAGCTTTGGATAGGCTGAAAACCTAGAAATCGATATATTGTGGGTACCAAGCCGCTTGACCTGTGCGAGCCGAGCTGCCATGGGGTACTCGTGTGAAGCTGAATGCACGCACTTGTTGGGTTTGTATTGGGCTGAAACAAGCGTGGCCCGCGTTCGTCTGTGGGCTGGGTTAGAGGCCGAAGTAACCAGACTTGATTCCTTCGTCTTCCTTACCCAAAAGACCTCGAAAACCTTAATTGAAGATGCGCCGCCCCTGCCGACGACACAGTCTTCTCCGTTTCCAACGACGGTCACGTAGCGTCCTCCTTCTTCGATTCCGACGGTTTGCCTTCTTCGACGCAATGATCCCTTTCTCGATGCTTACTTCCACTTGATTCTCCCTCTGGATTAGGAGCCCCACCGATTTCGAGAACTCACCAAAAAATCAGTGAACCAACCCACATGATTTCCTTTTGTACACTCTCGATTCCCATTCTCTCAGACACACTCGAACACATAAGGTGAATTTGGAGAGCAAAAATTATTTTTAAGAAAAGTGAAGGTTGGGCATAGGAATATAAAAGGTCTCAAATCATGTTTTCGGGCGAGAATAAATGCTACAACATAATATCCTGTCATTTATAGAAATAAAACTAAAATCTGAACAAAATAGGGAAAAATGGAAAATCTGAATCGTTACATTTAAAACCCTAAACATCCCTTCTTTTCACAAAGACTTGATTATTGGTGATCTCGAACAAGGTGTGAAAACTCGTTCTTCTATTAATTTATTTAATAATCTTGCTTTTGTTTCTCAAATTGAACAAAAAATGTCTTAAGGATGCCGAAAATGATGTGTTTTTTATTTTAGATATGCAAGAATAACTAAATCAATTTGAAATGAACAAAATTTGAGAAACAAATGAGATTTTAGAAATAAAATTGATAAAAACGGGAATATCATTAGAAATAAAGCTATGCATGTAGCTCAAGTTTATTGTCAAGAGGAAGGTATAGACTATGAAGAAACTTTTGCACCCATTGCTAGATTAGAAACTATTAGAGTGTTACTTGCTTTTGCTTCTTACAAAAATTTTATATTGTATCAAATGGATGTGAAAAATGCATTCTTAAATGTTTATATTAGGGAGAAAGTTTACATAGAACAACCTTCCCAATTGAAAATTTTGATTTTCCACATCATGTCTATAAGTTGTAAAATGCTCTTTATGTTGATGAACTTGGTAATTTTCTTATTGAAAATGATTTTAAAATGGGTAAACTGGACGCTACTTTCTTTTATTAAAATTAAAGAGAAATATGTTATTTGTGCAAATATAGGTAGATGATATCATATTTGGTTCTACTAATTAAAGAGAATAATATGTTATTTGTGCAAATATAGGTAGATGATATCATATTTTGGTTCTACTAATTCTTTTTTACGTGTAAAATTTTCTAAATGTATTTCTAATGAGTTTGAGTTTATTTCTTGGACTTAAAATCAAACAACTCAAAAATGGTATCTTCATAAATCAAGGTAAATACACTAATGATTTACTCAAAAGTTCAAATTCAATGAAGGTAAGATTGCAAAAACTCCAATGAGCACATCCATTAAGTTTGACAAGGATGAAAAAAGTAAACCCGTGGATATTAAATCTAATATGATTGGATTTTTACTTTACTTGACTGCTAGTAGACCCAATATTATGTTTAGTGTACGTCTTTGTGCTATGTTTCAATCTTGTCCTAAGAAATCTGTTAAGGATAGTTGACCGTTCATTATAAGGCAAATATCTAGATATTTGCCTTACATTACGGGTTACCATATTTGCCCTTTTATTAAATGCAAATATATTGTATTCATTTATTGTTCTTTCCTTTTATCGCTATTTCCTTATTATTTGTAATTTACCTTATTTCTGTATTCTGTAAATGATTATAAATAAGAGAACTCTCACCACCATTTGAGTGTGGTGGATTAATCAAACATTCACATGGTATCAGAGTATGACGAAAGGTGATTTGGAGGTCAATAGGGTGGAGCCGAAGAGTAATCAATCGGCTCCGACTACGGCAGCCATGAAGACTGCCCCTGCGGCGTCAAAACCAGCAGGGGTGGTGGAGAAGAAGATTAGAGGATTCAAAAGCCATTGAAAAGAAAGGATCGGGGTTGTTAAACCGAGAGGGCTCCATTTGCATGTAGTGAAAAGAATATTTAAATATTTGCTTGTAACTATTAATTTAGGAGTGTGGTATCCTATAAATGTTGAGTTTAAATTGGTAGAATATTCTGATGCGGATTTTGCTAGAACTTTACTTGATCGTAAGAGTAGTAGTGAAACTTGTCAATTTCTTGGTAGTTCATTAGTTTCTTGGTTTAGTAAAAAGCAAAATTTGATTGCCTTATCTATTACGGAAGTCGGATATATTGCGGCTGCTAGTTGTTGTGCTCAAATTCTTTGGATGAAACAAACTGTCTGTGATTTTGGATTAAAATTAGATAATATGCCTATATTTTGTGATAACACTGATGCTATTAATTTAACCAAAAATCTTGTTCATCATTCTAGAAGTAAACATATTGACATCGACATCATTTTATTAGAGAGCATGTGCAAAATGGACATATTATTCTTGATTTTGTAAGCTCTAATAATCAATTAGCCGATAGAGTATTGAACTTGAGAATTCTAAAGAAAAGCTTCTTAAAGCTGAATTGCTAGAGGAGAAAAGATTAAGATATTGGGCATTTCAAGAATTGAACTAAATCATACCACTAAACCAAATGTCTTTGTTATGAATTTTATATTAAGTTGTTTATTAAATGTTTTTGTCATTATTTCATTTATTTTCTTTATTAATGAAATCCTTGTGTAATTATTATTATTATATCTTTAGATACAACCTAACATAATATCAGAACCAAGGATTATTCATTAACAATGTTTATCCTATCTTCTTTCTCCTCCCCATCCACCATCTCCAACTCGATCTTAACTACCATGACGTCGACCTTTGGCCCAATCCCTCTCCACGACGCTGTCACAATCCATCTCATCAAAAACTTCATAATATTGTGCACCCAGCTCCTCCCCTATCTATGGAGTACGAAGCTTATGGGCTACCTCAATGGCACCATTGCTGCAACTGCCAAGTTGGTCCCTTCCTCAACCGCTGCTGTGCTGACCTCGTCTCTAATCCGGCCTATGATCGGTGGTATGATCAAGATCAATAGGTCCTTAGCAGCCTTCTCTCCTCCATGTCTGAGGAGATTCTTCACGATATGGTTGCCGCTACTACATCAAAGGAGGTGTGGGATACCCTGCAGCGGATGTTTTCGTCGTCAACTCGTGCTCACACTGTTCAGATCCGTGTTGAGCTCGCGACGCCCAAGAAATGTAATCTGTCTGCTGTAGATTATTTTTCGCAAGATCAAAGGGTTGGCCGCCACCGGCTCTGCCTTGCAGGATGATGATTCGATCGCGTATCTCCACATTGGTCTTGGCCCTGACTATGATCCCTCCATCACCTCAATGACTAACAAGATTGAAGCCCTCGCGCTTGATGATGTATTTACACATCTAATAGCATTTGGAGCTCGCCAACTACAACACCACGTTAAACTTCAGTTAAATTCTAGATCTTCTGTCAATTATGCTTGTCGTGGAGGTCAGCAGAAGAACCGTGTGCGTAGGGATTGTGGTCGTGATCGTTCTGGTATGCCCTCTCGTCCTGCTGGTGATCATCGTGACCCTTTTGCTCGTCCTTCCTGCTAGATCTACGGTAAAGTGGGGCATACTTTTGTTCGCTGCTAGCATAGGATGGATGAGTTCTATCAATATTGATCCAAATTGGTACAGTGACATAGGCGCCACTGATCATATCACCAGTGACCTAGATCGTCTCGCTGTTCGTGAACGCTATCATGGAGGTGAACAAGTTCAAGTTGACAATAGAGTAGGTTTGCATATTTTGCATACTGGTCATTCTTCAATTAATACTACTACTTGTTCTCTTACATTGCGTAATATTTTGCATGTGCCTGAAATTTCCAAACATCTTCCTTCCATTCGTAAATTTTCTCGTGATAATGATGAATTTTTTTAATACCATCCTTGGCATTTTTCTATTAAGGATCGACGGTTGAGGAAAAGTCTTCTAGATGGGAGGTGTGAGTCTGGTCTCTATCCTATTAAGCCATCTGACGTCGATGATCTCAAACATGCCTTAGTGAGTAGATCTACTACTCATGCCCAATGGCATGCATGTCTTGGACATCCTTCATCTCATGTAGTAAAGTCAATTTTGCGTCTCAATAATATTTTATGTACTAGTGTGTCACCTTTGCCAGTTTGTAATGCTTGTCAGTTAGCAAAAAGTCATCAGTTACCATACATTAGAGACATCATATTTGATGAGAATGTTTTTCTGTTCAAGAGACCCCACCCAGTTTTTCCCCAACCTTGCCGCTGACGCACAATGCTTCTAATTTGTGCACCTTGCATTTGGTTAATAGAAATACTAATTTGGAAAATGATGAGATGCATATATCTGTGCCTACTAACTCTTTGGATGTAGAAATCTAGTGCCAACATCAGCTTCGGGATTGTCGTCGCAACCCTTTGTGTCACTGCGCGCGAATATGCATTGGTTGTTTCGCCAATGATTGAGGCCTTGGATCCTCCGCCAGAAGATGATATTGTGCAATGCCCGATCATATCCTCAACTGCTGGTCGACCGACTACTGTAGCATCGGTTACTCCCCTCGCAACGGCTTGTACGGCTATCCCCTTAATTGTGGATCATGCACCTACTACTCATCCGTATAATACTCGATTGAAGCACAATATCAAGAAACTCAAGGTGCGTACAGATGGAACAATAACATATTCTGTGGTTTTATCACGACCCAATTTTCGCGGCTTCGAAAAACCAAATCGTGACTAAAAAGACGAAATTAAAAATAAATAAAAAGAAAAAGAAAATAAAATAGAATGTAAAAATCCGATAAAATCTAAAACAAGAAAAGGAAAGGAAGGACACCAGAATTAAATATAAAATCAAAATCAAATGTTACAAATGGGGATTACAAATATAAAATGAAATACAAAAGACTAAAAGACCAACAAGGGATTGACGCTCCGGAACGACACCCCTCTGTTACAGTGCAGCTCTTGAACACCCCCCATATCAACTGAAACCTAAAAGAAAAGGGAGGAAGGGGTGAGTATAAAAATATACTCAGTAAGCAATCTACTTGTAGGCTCTTTTCGCATCTTTGTCTTAGTAGGTATCCACGGTCTTATCTCTGGGTTCTAGTGAGTGCGAATCACGCTACAACTCTCTTTTCTATATCTTAGGAGGCTTGCCATCTTATGCAGTGGAATGATCGGTGTTCTGAGGTGAGGTGAGACCTCATAAGTAAATCTGAGGGGATCGTATGGCTGGATCTGAATACGTAACTCTCTCTGAACATCATCCATGGAGGTTAGTTGACAACACTCACACGGGACCATACATCCACTAAAATCAGGGGTTGCGATCTCTAGTGTGCTGGTCAGCTACTAAGTCATCCTAGTGGTTCCACGTCCCCCGCTCAGGGACGGGTTTCTACGTCCCAGGAGTCCTATTCAGAAGACCCCTTAGCTATCACCACTAGGTCTGGGCACCTGTCACACTTCCCTGTCTGGATTTTCCAGGCTTAACGATCTCCGTACCGGAGCTCTGTCTCGACGGTACGGTATCAGAGTAGAGAGGGAAGTGGTGTCCTACTATTCTTTCTAAGGTGGAACTTGGTGGCTTAGACTTGGATTCATGCATCTCTAGGATTCTCGTGCAAGGTCTCACAAACCTATCGGGTTCGGATCTAAATGCACGGTATTTTAGAGGTTCCCCAATCTAGGGTCTCGTCTAGTCTACTTAGCCACAAGCACCTTAATTTAAGCTCACAATTTCTTCCTATTCGTCAAGAAAGATAACACAAGAAACCATCATACATAGGAGTTGACACGCAGTAGTTCACGCAATATTAACAAACATGCTCAACGGGAAGATAACGTCCATCTTCACCCGGAGCGCAGATTTCACAAGTTTTCCATCCTCCTCATGCATACATACATTATCAGAATCTCAATCTAAATAGATTACATAATCATTCATGGAGTTAACACGCAGCATTTTATGCAATATTAATAAACATGCTCAACGGGAAGATAACGTCCATCTTCACTTAGAGGGCAGGTTTCACAAGTTTCCCATCCTCCTCATGCATACATATATTATCAGAATCTCAATCTAAACAGATTACATAATCATTCATATCTAGAAGTCATAGATTTCCTTATTTATTTCATTTTTATGGTTTCCATACTAATATGCTAGGTTTGGCTAGCTAAGTTTATGGGTATGATAGCATGCATGCTCATTCCAAGTAGTTCCTACAAGTACTGCTCGTGGGAATCCAGATAGCTACTTACTTGGTTGACGCGTGCCTTCCCAATTCGAATTATTTGCAGAAAAAGGTTCCAAAAATTCTGAAATTTCCATGATAGGTCCTAATTCACATAAAAATAAGATCAGAGTTGAAATCAAGGCGAAAAACAAGCAAACAGAGGTCGAACAAAGGGACAAAGGTCACTCACGCGCCTACACGCGCGCTGACGCGCTCTAAAGGGTGTACTACACGTGGCTTTCTACGCATGCATGTCCACGTGCGACTTCCCATGTAGTCGTGGGCAGCGGCTGGTTCGGTTCAGTTCGGTTTGTGTGGTTCAGACTCAGGCACTCGGTTGCGCGCGCCTGATACGCTTCTCTAGCCCGCGATCACCACGTGTTGCTCGTCAGTCCTGCCGCGCTCCTCTGTATGTCGGTCAACGTGTGGCGGCAATGCCTCCTCTCTCCTCCTGCATTTTTCCAAATTTTCCAGAAATGTGAGTTTTGGCGTTTTCGATCCATTTTCTTCCGATTTTTATATCTTCCAATTCGTAATCCGAATCAACAAGTTCTCTTCACGAATAGTGTAGATCTCATATTCTATTTCTACAATATATTTTTCTTGTTTTCTTTTAATAATCACAGGTCTTATTATTTGAGGTTAAATTTGGAGAAAAATATGAGTTCTTACCGAAAATTGCATTTTTTGAAACTCCGGTTTTCATCCAGAAACTTTAAGAAACCTTTGTGAATCTTATTTCAGTTACATACCCCAAAAACTTTAGATTCTAATGGTCAAGAAACTCCTCAGATCTGGATAAAATCGAAACAAGAAGTTTGGAACCTTACTTTATCCGTTCTCGGATTTTCTTGCCGGAATGAGTGGATCCACCACCGAAATTCTTTTTTTAGCATCGAGAGAAGTATTGCTTCGAAGTTTCTTGCCTTGGATTCAATCTCCATCCGCGTATTGTCATCTCTGCTCTTCCTCTCTCCCAAACCATAACTTCTTCTCCTTTATCCTTTCTCTCTTTTTTTTCCTTTCTTTCTCTTTCTTCGAGGAGCCCAAACAACTAGACCCCTTAGGTAAGAGTAGGGGCAAAATGACCCTTTTGCACTTATGTTGTTATTTTTATTTTTATTTTATTTATTTATTAAAAATTTGGGTATTACAGTTTCAATCTTTTGCATCTGAACCTACTTCACATATTACTACTATTGAGTCCTCGTGCTGGTCTTTACGTTATTGATTGTAAATGAGTTTTCAAACTCAAGCAAAAGCCAGATGACTCTATTGATTACTACAAATCACGTCTGGTTGCTAAAGGGTTTAAACAGTAGTATGACATTGATTATGATGATACCTTTAGTCCAGTGTTAAGCCCACTTCCATTCGCTCTTATTATCTCTTGCTATTTCTCGTGGTTGAACTATTTGGCATATTGATATTCAAAATGTTTTTCTTCATGGTTTTTTTAATGAAGATGTTTATATGAAGCAGCCCCTTGGACTTCTAGATTCTGAACATCCTAGTTATCTCTTCAAGTTAGATAAGTCGCTTTATGGTCTCAAACAAGCTCCGCGTGCCTGGTTTTCTTGTCTTAGCTCCAAACTATTGTAGCTGGGTTTTACACCTTGAAAGGTTGATGTCTCTCTTTTCATTTTTAACAAGACGGGCATTCAGGTATATATCCTCATCTATGTTGATGACATTATTATCATCAGTTCATCTTCTAGGGCTACTGAGAAGCTTCTTACACAACTTCGGGATGATTTTGTCATCAAGGATCTTGGCATTTTGAGTTATTTTCTTGGGATTGAGGTCCGCTACTGTTTGGACCATTTCCAATGCACTTTCTTTGGTTCTCTATCAGCCTTTATGAAGCTAACTCGTTTATATTTTTCCATAATGCAAACCCATATCAATAGATTTTAGGCCTTCTAAAACTTCATTTGCAGTCATCATCTTCATTTCTTTGACGCTCATATGTGCATACTTGAATTTGAAGCACTCTTAGCAACATCACCATGTTTATACACTCTTCAATAGTGTTATAGGGTTCCAGATTTTGTGTCATGCTACCACCATGAGACCCTTCACAATCTTCCCCAAACTCTTTCCAAACTCGGCTGTATAACCTGTGCTATCCAACTGACCAATAGAGA